GGGAGGACGGCAGAGACTGATCTATAAATGCCTGTTTATAAACCCTATATAAATAAGGTGATAGTAATTCGTTGAAGGCTTTATAGAATTCATTACAATATCCATCTGGACCAGGAGTTTTACATCCTTTTAGATATTTTATAGTACCTGATATTTCTTTAATAGTAATTTCTGCACCTAACTCCTCAACTTGCTCTTGCTTTAATGAGGGTAGATTTTGTTGGTCTAGAAACTGTCGGATCTATATTTCCTTTAGACGAATACAGTGTCTCATAAAACGTTTGAAACTTACTATTTATATCCCTAGAGGAAGTAAGAAATTCTCCTGTGTCTGATTTAATTTTGTATATTGCTCGTTCAGATGCTGTTTTACGAAGTTGTCGAGCTAAAAGTTTTTGAGGTTTATCACCGAATTCGAAGTATTTTTGTTTTACATACTGAAAGGATTTTGAGATTTTAGAACAGAGAATTTGATTCAATTTATATTTAAGTGCACAAATTTTTTTATATTTTTCAATACATGGATGTTTAGCATTTTCCATGTCTAATTCGCGAATTTGAACTTCTAATACCTCTGATTTAGCCCTATTTCTCTTTCTCTGAGATGCTTGATAAGAGATAATACAACCCCTAATGTATGCTTTAAATGTGTCCCATAACACCCCCATAGAAATGTCTGGCTTGTCATTGAATTGAAAAAAGGTTTTTATATCCTGTTTTAAGTGATTAATAAAAACTTTGTTTGTAAGTAAATGAGAATTAAGCCCCCAATTTCTTTGTGGTTTCTCCATATTATCTATTTTAATAGAAAAAGTCACTGGACTGTGATCGGATATAATAATATTATGATATTTAGCTGTACAGACCTGGGGCATAAATTTACCATCCAGAATGAAATAATCTATTCGTGTATATAGATTATGAGTGTGAGAATGAAAAGAGTATTCCCTAGCCGTCGGATAGAGAATTCTCCACACATCAAACGTAACGTTAAGTTAGTTATATATGAATTCAAAAATTTACTGGAGTTGGAATTAACTATTTTTGTGGAGTATGATTTGTCTAAATACGGGTCTAGAACACAGTTAAAATCACCCCCAATTATGAGATTTGTATCTGAAATATTTGGAATTAGATCAAACACTTTTCTGAAAAACTCAGGGTTGTCACAGTTAGGTCCATAAACATTGACTAGTATTAATGGCACAGAAAATATTTCCCCAACAACAATTACATATCTCCCTTCTTTATCTGAAATAGTCAAATTATGTTTAAATGGGACTCCTTTACGGATAAGGATAGCTGTTCCTCTAGATTTAGCAGAGAAATTAGAATGATAAATTTGTCCGATCCATTTGCATCTCAGTCTAACATGGGCAGTACATTTCAAATGAGTCTCTTCTAGAAACATAATATCTGAAAACAGTGATTTTAAATGAGACATTCTTTGTCCCCTTTTAACTGGTTCATTCAGACCTTTTACATTCCAAGTGGAGAAACTTAAAGACGCCCCATTTGCATTTACCTTATTAAACATAAACTGTGATTACAACAGAAAATCACAATCTGTTCCGACCAGTTACCTACACACCGGCAGATGTTACCATGGAAACCTTTAGCACTAACCCACCCTCCCAACAAAACGTTTGATAGCAGAACATGTTTAGCTGTTACAGGAACAAATGTACAGCACAACTTACCATGAAGTAGAAGGCAATAAAAAGGTATAATAAAAAACGAATAGAAAAGAAAAGCCGACCTCCGCATTTTACTTTGCAGAGACTTCACAAAAGTCCAACATTGAGTCCGCTAAATAACAGAAACTTCAACAAAACAACAGGCTTAACGTCTCGGAATTATTGTTCAGCATTTACTTATCTGTGCCAAACTGTTCGATTGCAAATTTCCATGCTTCGTTCGCGTCGGTGAAAAGCTTCTGTCCCTCACTGTACGTCACCCGCACCTTTGCTGGATACAGAATGCCAAACTTCACACCGGGTTTATCCCGAAGGATCTGTCTTACTCTGGCAGAGGCTGCCCGACGTTTGACCACAGCTGAAGGATAGTCTCTGAAGATCTGAATGGAGCGACCGTTAAAGGTTAGCTTTCTCTGTGATGACACTTGCGCATGATGTTTTCCATGGTATGGTCATGGTGTATCCGAGCAATGAATTGCCGCGGCGGGTCATTGTCCTCAGGCCGGGAACGAAGAGCTCGGTGCGCGCGATCCAGGACAGGCAGCTCATCCAATCCAAGCACCTCCATGAGCAGTTTAGCTACAAACTCTCTAGCACCTTGACCGTTTTCCATTCCTTCTCGTATTCCCGCGATTCTTATATTTTGCCTCTTAGAACGGCCTTCCAGATCGATGCATTTTTCTGTTAATTCTGACACCTGCTCAGACAGACTTTTAACTTGAGCTTGTAATTTCGTAACTGCATCTGTCGAGGCCATAGCGTTCTGTTCAAGATGTTCGAGAGTTGTACGATGATCGTTTATG